CCTCCTGCAGAACCTTCGGGGTGGGGCTGGTGACCAGGCCCTGGGAGCAGTAAGACCCCTACCCGCTGTGGTCTGGCGCTGGTGGGGATGGTGTCCTGGGGGCAGGGCAGTTCAAAGCCTCTCCGGCAGGCAGGGCTCACCCTGTGAGGGCAGCTGCAGTGTCTGGACGGAGGGCTTCCCAGAGGGATGGCTGAGGTCAGACCCACGCTCTGTCCGGGCCAGGCCACCCCAAAGAGCAGCCCCGGAGGCCTGGCCACAGCCAGGAAGCTCCCGAGCCTGGAGGGGCCCTGCTGGGCCCGCCCTGCCCAACCCGCACCCGTCCGGACCCCAGCACCCACTGGGCCGGGTGGACTGGGCTCCCAGCTGGCTCCCCGCCCCCAGCGCGTCAGCTGGCCTTCTGGAAGCTTCTCCCTCTGGTTGGCTTTGCTCGGGTCCTCGGGTGCCTCCCTCGTGGAAGGCTGGGCCCCACTGACAGGTGCCTGGGCTTGTCTGTCCGCCCCGCCCCCCTGCAGTACCGGGGCCTCCACTCCTTCTCCAGAGGCCTCCCTTTTCCAGGAAGTGCTGCCTGGGGTCTAACCTGAAGCTCTCCTGCTGCGGCGTGAGCTGTTCCTTCCTGTTGAGACCTGCTGGAGGGATGGTGCCGCCCGGCCCCCTGGACCCTGACCGTGCTGTGCACCCCCGCCCCCCTGCCCCCCACCCTGCTGCCGGAGCCGCTTCCCATTCTGTGTCCAGGACGCAGCCTGAAGGACGCTGCTGGGGAGAGTGGCCATAAAGTCCCTCTGAGGACCGTTCCCCCCCGGCCTGGCTCCAGTGGGTCTGTCTGGTCCCGGGACCGTGGGGATGTGTGTGGGGTGTCAGGCCTCAGGCTCTGTGTCAAAGGGCAATGTTTTCGGCACTCTGGGGGTGGGGGAGGCACTTCCCGTCCTGCCTGAGGAGGTGGCAGGGTGAGGGAGTATGGACCCCGCCAGGGGTGGGCAGGCTGGGCCCTCTGCCCCAGGCCCTCCCCTCCCAGTCCTCGTCAGGAAGCTTGGGGTCACCCCTGCAGGCACACCCCACCCACATCCACTCCGCCGAGCGCTCCATGCAGACCATCTTCCGGGCCCTCCCGTCCGGCTTTCACGGGGCCTTCTGCTGCCCATGGGCCCCTTGGCCACGCTCACTCCAGGCCCACCCTGGGGAGGCAGAGAGGGCGGCCTGGGCCGGTCTTCGCCGTGACAGCCTGGGTGGGAGGCAGCTCCCAGCCTGTGGGCCAGGCGGGGCGGGCCACGGTGGGGTGCGGCTCTCTGAGGCCCGACCGGGGCTGAAGTCAGGTGACTGGACCTCAGGCCTCCTCTCTGGCCCTCTGTCTGGGGGGCCAAGGACGCACCCTCAATCCTGGAAGCGAGGCCTCGCTTCCCCACTCCAGCCCCGAGCCCCTCCTGCTGAGCCTGAGGAACCGTGGAGGCCACCCTGGCCTGCTCTAACTGCCCACGTGGTCCGTGCGGGCCCTGGGCTGGGGGCTGGAAGCCGCTGGGCCCAGCCCGTGGGCACGTGCTCTGTAGATCTGGAGCAAAAGTGTGACCCCAAAGAGCTCTCCCTTGGCACCCACCAGGCAGCCTTCTCCCGGTGGGGCCGGGGGCGGCTCCACCCGCACCCCCAGGCCTCTCAGCCTGGTTCCCAGGCTCAGGCTGGCACTGCGGCTGGCACCATTCCAGATCTCGCCCAGACAGGGGTGTGCCCGAGCCTTGCTCAATTAGGTAACACCACACGAGGAGCGTGGTGGGGCCCGGGGAGCCTCTGCCCCACACCCTAATACAGGCCTAAGGGGTGGGGCTTGGGGCGCCCTGCGGGACCCTCGGAAGGCTGGGGGGCGGGCAGCAGGACCACTGCACAGGAGCTTGGGCCGCTGGAGGCCCCCTCCCATGTCCCAGGGCTGGTGGTGCCCAGCACTCAGCTGCTCATTTGAAGCAGCCACCACTTTGACTGCTTCCGAGGGGCCAGGAACGGCTCAGAGCCTTTGTTTCTCCCAGGCCCGGTGGAGCTGGGCTGTGAGAGCTGTGGTTGGACCCGCGTGGTGCCTCCGTCCCCGAGCAGGGGCCGCCCTGCCCCCTAGAAATGCCCAAGGAGCCCAGGGCCCCAGGGGGGGCCGCTGCGCGGGCTTCTCGCCAGGTGGGTCACTGAGGGCCGGGGTGAGGCTTCCGCCTGCGGGGAGGCTGCCCGCTGCCTTCTGCACTCCCGGTCCTGTGGAATGAGGGGGTCGCCCTGAGGGTCACCCTCCTGGGGGCACCAGCCCACCTTCCCGATTTACAGCGAGAAACCAAGGCCCAGGCCTGTGCTCAGGGTCCCAGGCTGGCACGTGGCAGAGCTGGGCTACGAGCTCTCCTGGCACCTCTTGCGGGTGGTGGGAGGCGCGGGAGGGCGGGGTACCCATGGGAGGCGCCCGGAGCCCCTCGGGGTCTCGGAACTGCCTGGCTCCTGTCGGTGATTTCACTGGGTGGGGCTCCGGCTCCTGACAGCGCTTCCCCAGTCACCGAGATCTCTGCGTTATCGCTGGCCAACATTCACTGTCATTTAGGCCATTATCCACATTTACCCGGCGTCTGCCATCCCCAAACCAGGCTTGGCAGGCAGGGAAGCCCCCCCTCCCCAGCGCGGCTCACACCTCAACACCTCCTGCTGCCGCGGGGCCGTCAGGCTGCTGCTTGTCACCGGTCCCCTCTGGTGCTGCAGCAGGCGGATGGAGGGGTCCGCCGTGGGCCGGCTGGTCCCAAGCTCCTTGTCTGGGTCACACGCACGTCTGTGCCCCCTTGCCCCCAGTCTCCGCTCAACCCCCACCCCCCACCCCACTGACACTCAGGCCTGTGGACTCAACAGAGACGCCAGACGTGGAGTCCCAGCTCCATTGTTTGACCTCTGAGAAGTCACGGCCTCTCTCTGAGCCTCAGTTTCCCCAATTGCAAGTGGAAACAGAGACCTCTGCCACTGCCTCCGCAGGGCAGGGCGGCAGGAAAACACACGCACGGCCTGCGTGAGAAGGCCCAGAGGGCCGGGCCAGCTTGGTGTCTGTGTCCTGGCCTGGGACCAGCCTGGGCTCCCGGGACAGAGGACAGTGTCCAGCTGGTGGCGTGGCCCTGGGGGCTGCCCTGGGCTCAGCCCAACGAGGATGACCACCGCCTGCTGCCCACCCACCCTGAGGACTTCAGGGGTCGCGTCCTGATTTTCTCTTTCCTAAAGCTTGAGCTCCCCCAGTAGCCCCCAATGGACAGCTCTGCTGTAAGGGAGTCTCTGGAGGCTGGCTGGTGGGCCCCCCACCCTCCCCAGGTGACTCAAGTGGTCAGGCCGGAGGGCAGGGGGGATGGGGGCGATGGGGGGAGGGGGCGGTGCTGGGGGTGGGGTGGGGGCCAGAGCGGTGTGTGCCAGGAGGGCCCGGGCTCTTGTGGGGTGTGGGGCAGAGCAGAGCGAGCACTTTGCCGCCCCCCACCCGCCCCGCACGGGGTGTGGTGTGTGGCGTCAGGATGAGACCCCCCGACGTGAGCTCGGAGGAGGGTGGGCGTCCAGGCTGCCGGCCTTACGCTCTGGGAGGAGACCCACGGGGTCTGAGAACCAGAAACCTGCTTGCGCGTCCTCGCCCGCCCTCTAGTTTCACTTTCCTTTTGTTCCCTCCTCCCCCTCTCACGATGCTCCCTTTGAAGTCAGACGGACACTGATGGGCGTGTCCAGCCCGGCCCTCCCACCACCCATGAGCCCGAACCGGGCCGCACTTCTGGCGGCTCCGGTCCTCACCTGGACGCCAACTCGGCCCAGGGTCTCCCCGCCGTGAGCCGGGCGCCCCGGGTCCCTGGCAGGACGGTGCCGCTGTGGCCCACCCCCGCCCCCCGGCCCGGAGCTCGGACCCCAGGAACGCCGGGAGCGCCGGGCCGGGCGCTGGAGGCGGGGGCGCCGGGCGGGGCCGGGAGGCCGCTGAGTCAGGGCCACCCCCGCGTGGGCGCGCCTAGCAGGTACCCTCGCCGTGGACGACCAGCAGCGCGACCTGCAGGCCCAGGAGCCGCCCTGCCCGGAAAAACCGGTCGGGCCGGCGCGGCGTGAACGCATTCCGGCGGCGGGGGAGGGCGGCTGCCCCGCTTAAAAGGCGCCGCAGCGCTGGCCGCCGCCACTCGGACGCACCGCCCGGCTTCGTGGAGGGGACACGCCGCCGGGACGGCTGGGCTCGCGGGGCTCGGCGGCCGCGGGCGGGCGAGGGGCTGGGTCCGGCGGCCGCGCTCCCCAGGCACGTCGGGGCTCCTCTCTACGGAGCGCGGCGGACGACGATCGCACGCTGGGTCCAGTGGTTCTTAACAGTTCAACAGTTCTGTAGCGCAATTGTGAAATGTTTAGGACCACTAGACCCGGCGGGCCTGGCGCCGGCGACCACGACGGGGCGCCCCACGCGCGGCCCGGGAGCGCGGACAGGGGCAGGGCCGCGCCGGGACGGCCGAGGAGGAGCCCGCGGACCCGGCGCCGCGCACCTCGTGCTGGCCGTTCCCTGCGCGCCGCGCCCCGCAGACCCCGAGGCCAGTCCCGGGGCCGAAATCCGCAGGAGGCGGCCGGGCGCGGCGGCGCCGAGCGCAGGGGACGGCCGGGATGGGCTCGGGTGCGGGGCGCGCCAGGCCCACGCTCTTGGCGTGTTGCCAGCGCGGAGACGCCACCACCGCCCGCCTGTGCCCGGGGGGCTCCCACCCTCTCGAAACTCCGCCGGCTTCCCAGCGCGCTCCTCGCCTCCGGCCTCCCCGGAGCTGGTGATGCGGCGGCCGCACCCTCGGGTTGGGGGCAGAGGGTTGTGGGCTCGCAAGGGGAGAGCTGGAGACTGCTTCGCGGGGGACCGTGGTGGGGGCGAGCGCGGGGGCCAAGGAGAGCGTGGGGAATGAATGAAGGACCCTGCCGAGGAACTCGGACGCGCGGGGGGGGAAGCTGGGAGCCCGTGCTCCAGATAGATAGGGGTCAGGCCCGCAGGCTCGGTGGGCCGGCCTGCCCGGGCCAGAGCGTCACCCCCGCGGCCTCAGGCTCAGCTCTGCAGCGGGGCGCGGGAGCGCCGCGGGTGATCCCCGGGGGCGAGGGCGCTGGGAGGGGCTCAGGGAAGTGCCGTCCATTCCCACCTCGCGCCAAGGGCGACGCTGCCCCTCCCCAGGATGACTGACCTGCTCCGCAGCCTGACTGGCCCGGGTCTGGCCACACCCTCCGGGGAGGAAAGGCCCCTGCCGCCTGGCCTCCTTGGAGGGGAGACGCCGCAGGGCGGCCTGGCTGCTGGGTCCCGCAGGCCTGGGTTTGAGGCCAGTGGCGCACCGAGCTGCCAGGTAGCTTGCAGGCCAGTCACGGCTCATGAGTCTGGTGGTGGCTGAGGGGCAGGGGACTGGGGAGGCGGTGCGGAGGGAGAGAGTGGGCTGCGAAGGATGCAGCCCCAGCCTGGGCGGTGGACCCCTCAGCGGCCTGGGCAAGGCGGCTGTGTTCCCTGGAGGCGTGTCCACCCGCCAGACGGCACCTTCCCCTTTTTGCCCAGCAGACCTCCGTTGCAGCCGCCGCAGGGCCGGGCCGGGTGTCCCAGGCTCCGAGGGGCCCAGAGGGTTTGAGCCGCGGTCCTGCCGCAGCTCTTGGGCTGCCGGCGCCGCTCTGCGGTGATTTCCTGCCAGCGTGTGCCTGGGCCGTCCACGCTGCCCCCCAGCAGCCCAGGGACAGGGCCCCCCCTGCTGGGGCTCAGGTGAAGGGTCCCGGGGCTTCTCCAGTCTGTGACTTGGAATTACTTTGTACAAGGTGAACATGTATGTATCGCAGGTTGATGACAATAAACTTTTGTCCTAAAGCGTCCCTGTGTCCTGCTGCCGGCCGTCCTCTCTCCCCCCGGGCTCACTCATGTTGACCTCCCCGTCTTCCTGCTGACCCCAGAGGAGTAGGAAGGGGGGCAGTACCCCTGGGCCTGGCTGCCAGCCTCCACTTGGTTCAGGCACTGCGGTCTGCCATCCAGCCCCTCTCTTGGGGGATGGAGAGAAGGGACACATCCTGAAACCTTTGCCCGCTCCCCTGACCCACCTTCTGCTGCCTCAGGGAGCAGGCTGGGGAGAGGACTTGGTCTTGGGGCCCCAGTTTTGGGTGGCTCCATCTTCTTCCAGCTCACACCATCCTGGCCCCCTGGCCGGCGGCTGCCATGCCCAGCCTGGCCAGGCTCTGGTTCCGGGGAGGGGCAAGCTTGGGGGGCTTAGGGGCTGAAGTGATGGAGGCCCCTCCTCTGCTATCCCCTGCATCCCGGCGCAGGCTGAGAGTCGGCCGTGGGTGTACCAGCCTGTACCTGGACAGCAAGTCTCAGCCCTGCCGCCCATGAGCAAGGGACCCTGGCATGCCCTCCTCCCCTCAGGGAGCCCATTTCTTCCTCTTGCAGAGGAGGGGGGTCCTAGTGCCCACCTTGCAGGGGCTCGCTGGAGCGGCCGCGCCCCGAGCGCTGATGTGGGCCAGTTAGACCTCATCCCAGGACCGGTAATACCTGGTTGGGGGGGGGGGCGGCGCTGGGAGAGGATGCAGGTGGCAGTGGGGTGGGTCTCATTACATATCCCCTCAGCCCTGGGCTTCCTTGAGGACAGGCAGCTCCTCCTCCGTGACAAGCCTGTCCTTCCTGACAGACTCTTCCCCACCCCACACCCGGGCCAGGCCTCTCCTCTGACTGCTGCCTCTGGTGGGCGGTGCTCAGGGTCCCCAGGACCCATTCTCTTTAGCAGTGGACACCCCTGGCTGCACATGTGGCCCCCAAGCTGCTGGTGGGGGGCTCTGGCCTGCCCCTACTTTTCCCACTTCAGGTGGGACCAGCCCTCCATGGTGCTGAGCCCACCCTGGCCTTGCAGGCAGGACCACCCTGGGCCAGAGCAGAGCATCCTGGACAAGGCTGACAACCTGTCAGGGTTTGCCAGGGACTGTCCAGTTCTAACGCTGGGAATCTTGTGTTCTGGGAACCCTCTTTGTCCTGGGCAAACTGGGACCTGATCACGCTACCCTGGACCGGCTAGGGGACCTGCCGCCCTAGGTCCTTGGACCACATTTCAGCTTGTCTTTTCCACAAGAGAAATTAACCTTCTGTCTTTTTAAAGCTGCAGTTCTTCTGGTCTCTGTTAAAGTAGTTAAACAGGTCTTCTCAGTGAGTGGTTCTCCAGGTTGTTATGTGGCTGTCACCAGGAGGGCTGGCAAAGACCCCCAGACCAGGCTCAGAGGGGCGGGGTGGGCACCCCCAAGCCCCTAGCCGATCCTGATTCCGGCCCGAGGCTGAGGATCACTGGCTCAAGTGGCAGATCTCAGCAAGAGAAAAGAAGTGAGCGGAGACAGACTCCCGAACCTGTGGCTTTGGGCGATGTCCGGAGCCTCTAATCCCCAGGGCAGCAAGAAGCCAGAACCGACACAGCCCATCAGCCCCTCTGTCCCCAGCGTCCCTACTGCACCAGCAACCTCCTGAATGAGTCTAACTCCAAGTGCGTCTGAGGTTGAGGCAGACTCTTCACACCCTTGGTGACTTGGTGAATGCCAACCTGGGAGGACTCGGGGGCCGCTGTGACGGGCTGTCAGAGCACCTGCTGGGGTCCGTAGAGGCTGCGGGGGGCACAGATGGGGCACATGTCCAAGTGAGCTTTCCTCGAGCCCTCCAGTTGGGGATCACCCTCTCCTTTACTTTTCCAGTTTTTAGAGCTATACTTAAGGTATAGTAAAACGTACAACAGGTGTTTAAATTGCACAATCTGATGACTTCTGCCATATGCCTACATCCTGTAAACTCTCACCCTTATCAAGATAAGGAGCAGACCCACCACCCAATGGGGTTAGCCTGGCCCTTGGCGATTCTTTCCTCCCTTCCCCAACATCTCTCAGCCTCCTCCCTCACCCCTGCCCTGCTCTGAAGTTTCTCTCTTGGAAGGTTTTCAAATGCAAATGCAGCATCTTTAATGGACATAAGACTGTTCAGTTATCTGTTTCTTCTGGAGTGAGTTTTATCAGTTTGTATCTTTCAAGAAATCTGCTTATTTAATCTAAGTGGTCAGATTTTTTGGTGTAAAGTTAGGTGTGACGTTCCATTATTATTCTTTTGGCATCTGTAGAATCTGTAGCAAAGTTCCATCTTCCCTTTGTTTCATTTTTTTTTTTTTTTAATTTATTTTTTGGCTGTGCCTTGTGGCATGTGAGATCTTGTTCCCTGACCAGGGATTGAACTCAAGTCCTCTGTAGGGGAAGTTCAGTCTTAACCACTGGAACACCAGGGAAACACCCCCCTCACTTCTTAATATTGATGATTTGCCTTCTCTCAGTCTGCTAGAGGTTTGTTGTTTTTATTGATCATCTCAAAGAAGCCATTTTGTCCTGTCTTCTATTTGCTTTAGGTTTTGTTTGTTCTACTTTTCTAGCTTCTTAAGGTGGGATTTATTAGACCGTTTTCAGGATGACCCAAAGCTGTCTGAAGCTCTGTTCATTGTTCAGTCTTATTTTCTCTGTTTCATTTTGGATGGTTTCTATTTCTAGCTGAATAATTGTTTCTTCCGCAGCGCCCAATTGCTTTTAACTCCACCAGTGTAATTGTCATCCTAGTTAGTTCTGTCGCTCAGTCGTGTCTGACTATTTGCGACCCCATCAACTGCAGCACACCACGTTTCCCTGTCCATCACCAACTCCTAGAGCTTACTCAAACTCATGTCCATAGAATCAGTGATACCATCCAACCAGCTCATCCTCTGTTGTCCCCTTCTCCTCCTGCCCTCAATCTTTCCCAGCATCAGGGTCTTTTCCAGGGAATCAGTTCTTCGCATCAGGTGGCCAAAGTGTTGGAGTTTCAGCTTCAGCATGAGTCCTTCCAATAAATATTCAGGACTGATCTCCTTTAGGATGGACTGGTTGGATCTCCTTGCAGTCCAAGGGACTCTCAAGAGTCTCCTCCAACACCACAGTTCAAAAGCATCAATTCTTCAGCGCTCAGGTTTCTTTATAGCCCAACTCTCACATCCATACATGACTATTGGAAAAACCACAGCTTTGATAAGATGGACCTTTGTTGGCAAAGTAATGTCTCTGCTTTTTAATGTTTGTTATCCTGGATGTTACATTTTCCATCTGTGAAGTTTGATGGGGTCTGTTTAATAGTGTGCATATTGTTGCTTGATGCATTCAAGCATTCCTAGACCTTCTTGAACATATTGAAATGGAGTTACAAAAATAGTTTTAATGTTCTTATCAACTGATTTTATCATCTACGTCATTTCTGGGTCTGTTTCTTTGTGTGTGTGTGAGATATTTATTGGGCTTCCCTGGTGACTCAGATGGGAAAGAATCTGCCTGCAATGCTGGAGATGTATTTATTGAAGTAAGTTGGTTTACAATATTGTGTTAGTTTCAGTTGCACAGCAAAGTGATTCAGTTTATATATATATATATATTCTTTTTCAGATTCATTTGCATTATGTGTAGGTTATTACAAGAGATATTAAATATAGTCACCTGCATCATACAGTGAATCCTGGTGGCTTTTCTATTCTATATAGAATGTGTCTGTTAATCCCAAACTTCTAATTTATCCCCACTTTCTCTTTTGCTGACCATAAATTAGTTTTCCATGTCTGTGGGTCTGTTTCTTCTTTTTCTAAATAAGTTAATTTGTATTTTTTTTAGATTTAAAATTTTAGACGCCACATTTAAGTGATATCATGCAACGTTTATCTTTCTCTGACTGACTCCACCGAGTGTGACAATCTCTAGGCCCATCTATGTTGCTGCAAACGCCGGTTCATTCTTCTTTATGGCTGAGCAGTATGCCTTTTGCCCAGGAGGGGCATATGTGATCATATGATATTGGGTTGGCCAAAAAGTTTCAAGTTTGTTTGTAAGATGTTACAGAAAAACCCAAACTTTTTGGTCAACCCGATAGCTTTTTTAGTTTTTTAAAGGAACTGCATAGCAGCTGCATTGGTTTCCGTTCCCACCGATGATGTAGGAGGGTTCTCTGGGCCTGTTTCTACTGACTGATTTTTCTCCTCATTTTGTAATTTTCTATTTCTTTCTATGCCTGGTCATTTTTGATTGGCTGCCAAACATTGCGGCCTTAACGGTTGGGTGCTGGATAGATTTGTAACTTACAAACATTGTGAGCCTTGCTCTGGGATGGAGCTGAGCTACTAGCAGAGAGTTTGATTCTTTGAGTGTTGCTTTTAGTTCTGTTAGGCTGGATCTGTTAAACGCTGATCCTCTCTCCCCAGCAGCTCCTGTGAGTCCTCTATTGCGTGTCTTGCGAATCACTGAGGCTGTTCCTTCCGCTTGGTGGGAACACACACCATTCCCAGCATATTTAAAAGACTTTTTTTTTTATTATGGGAAAATATACAATACATAAAATTTGTTCTTTTCAGCATTTTAAAAGATACAGCTCTGTGGCATCAAGTACACGCACGTGCCTGTGGAGCCATCACTGTCATCCGTCTCCAGAACTTTCTCACCCTGTGAAGCTGAGACTCTGTCTCCATCAGACAGCAGTGTGCCGTCTCCCCTCCTCCCAGCCCTCAGCACGGCCACTCCTCCTGTCTGTAAGAACTAAGAGCGGCGCTCTTCGTGCCCCAAATGAGCGGAGCTGTGCCGTGTTTCTGTCTTCTGTGGCTGGCTTCTTTCACTGAGCAAAAGTCCTCAAGTTTCATCCATACTGTCGCGGGTGCCAGAATGTCCTTCATCTTTAAGACTGAACAATGTTCCACTGGGGCTTCCCATGTGGCGAAATGGTAAAGCATCCACCTGCCAATGCCGGATGCACAAG